AAGCAGTTTTCACTGAAAGACAGATGCATCAACACTTCCTGGGGATAGGGGTTAGCCTTGTAAAAAATTGAGGGTGGGATAGGGGTTAACTTCCCCTAAGAAATTAATCATGCCTGATTTTCTTTTTTAGCTCTTCCAGTTCTAAGACAAAACAGTAATATTAACATTAATAAGCTGGGCATGGTGGTGCACACCTGTAGTCCCAGCTACTAGGAAAGCTAAGGTGGAAGGATCACTTAAACCAAACTTAGGTCAGCCTAAGCAACATACAAAGACCTTACGTCAAAAAAAAAAAATTAATAAAAACTTCCTTTTTTTTTTTTTTTGAGATGGAGTCTCACTCTGTAGCCCAGGCTGAAGTGCAGTGGTGCGATCTTGGCTCACTGCAACCTCTGCCTCCTGGGTCCCAGTTCAAACAATTCTCTTACCTCAGCCTCCCAAGTAGCTGGGATTACAGGCACGAGCCACCATGCCCAGGTAACTTTTTGTATTTTTTAGTAGAGGCGGGGTTTCACCATGTTGGCCAGTCTGGTCTTGAATTCCTGACCTCATGATCTGCCTGCCTCGGCCTCCCAAATGCTGGGATTACAGGTGTGAGCCATTGTGCCCGCCCAAAGAATTTCCCTTTTTTTTTTTTTTTGATGGAGTCTCACTCACTCTGTTGCTCAGGCTGGAGTGCAGTGTCACATTGCAACCTCTGCCTCCTGGGTTCAAGTGATTCTCCTGCCTCAGTCTTCCAAGTAGCTGGGATTACAGGCATGTGCCACCACACCAGCTAATTTTTGTATTTTTAGTGGAGACAGGGTTTCATCGTGTTGGCCAGGCTAGTCTTGAACTCCTGGCTTCAAGTGATCTGCCTGCCTCGACCTCCCAAAGTGCTGGGATTACAGGAATGAGCCATTGCACCTGGCCAGGACTTCTATTTATATAATGTGGCTTACAAATTTTTTCCACACTTCATGATGATACAAAAAACACTCCTGCAAACATTAATTTTGTTAGAGAAAGGACACAGGGCTCAACATTATTTTTGAACGGATCAACTAAAAGTGTAGTCAAAAGATTTTTCATTCTTCATTTAAGCTCTGTAGTTTCCTCCTAGGGAATCACTAAAGGATGTAAACAAGAAGACAGAAGGCGGAATTATTCCTTCATCCCATCATTTTATCCTAGCCTCCATTTAATCTGTCAGAACTAATCTGTTTCCCAGCCTGTAATTCCAGCCCAGTGTGCTGAGTCTCTTTAGGAATGATCCTAAGGGAGGGTCTTCTCAACATGTAACACTCTCTGTTGCATCGCTTTCACTAAATGCAGTCGATTATGAGAGTGAAAACTGATTTGTAAGTTGAGGGTGTTTTGTGGGAGGAGAAGACAGCAGGTCCAAGAGATTTAAAAGGAAGCCAGGAGTCATGTGATCATAAATCCTGGTTTCCTTGGGACAGACCCGGTTTATTCATTTATTTATTTGACACAAGGTCTTGCTCTGTCACCTAGGCTAGAGTGCAGTGGCATGATCATAGCTCACTGTAGTCTCCACCTGGGCTCAAGAGATGATCCTCTTGCCTCTGCCTCCCAGGTAACTGGGACTATAGGCACATGCCACCATGCTTGGCTAATTTTTAATTTTTTGTAGAGATAGGGTCTCACTATGTTACCCAGTCTGGTCTCTCACTCCTGAGCTCAAGCAATCCTCCCACCTCGGCCTCCCAAAGTGCTGGGATTACAGGTGTAAGCTGCCATGTCTGGCCGAACAGGCCTAGTTTAGACCTGTTGTTTCAGAGTAATTATTATAAGCATCCTTTACATTCTCAAATGTGTCCTGATTTGAATAATAAATTATATAGTCACCCTAGCCATGGGTGACTTGGCAGGGTGTCCTTTTTTGCAAGCAGTTGCTCTAATTATTCCCCTGGGTTAGTCAATAAGGTTGATAAGGGCTCAGCCAGGTACAAAGCACTGTGCTAGGCTCTTGGGAGCACTACAAAAGAGGTGGGATACCTGTAATCCCAGCACTTTGGGAGGCCAAGGTGGGTGGATAACCTGAGGTCAGGAGATCGAGACTAGCCTGGCCAACATGGCAAAACCTCGTCTCTACGAAAAATACAAAAATTTGCCTGGCGTGTTGGTGGGTGCCTGTAATCCCAGCTACTTGGGAGGCTGAGGCAGGAGAATTGCTTGAACCCAGGAGGCGAAGGTTGCAGTGAGTCGAGATCACACCAATGCACTCCAGTCTGGGTAACAGCGCGAGACTGTCTAAATAAATAAATAAATAAATAAGTGGGAGTATTTGTAGTCCTGTCATAGTATTTCTCAATTGGCAGTAAGTTTTGGAGAAATAAACACCGTCCTCCCCCCACCCCCGACATGCCACCGCTTTCTTCATTCTCAAGGTTAAGGCTTCTAAGGAGGTGAATCTGCATTCCAGGAATGTTACAGAAGTTTGCTTTAACCCTGATCACCTGTGCTCCCTATGGTTCTGTATGGGGCCTCAGGCAGTGATTTGTACAGAGCTGGCTATTTAAAAATCATCTGGGGAACTTGTTAAAAATAGTAATTCATGGGCCCACTGCCTGAGATTCTGATTCAGCACATCTGAGAATCTATTAAAAAAATAAAAAGCAAACCTCTCCAGGTGTCTTGCACATACAAGCCAGATTTGGACCCACTGGTGAGTCATCATTTTTTGACCAAAGCCCGAAGTGATGCACTGTTGCTATGGAAACCACTGATGTACACCTCAGCCAGATTGAATTTTTGAACCTTACTTCTTTTTCTTCTTTTTTTTTAAGTACACATCTGTTTCAAAAATAGAGGGCATTATTTTTAGAACAGATGTGTTTTCTCTCTCCAGATCTTTATATTTAGAGAGAAAAAGCAAAGCCCCACAAGGCAGAAAATTTTCTCATCTGAAACCAAATTCAACAGAAAGCAGATGTCCCTCACTACATTAGTCCAGCTGGAAAGAACTAATGAGCAGTTATTTCCTGAGGCAACTTTCAAACTGTCTGGCACTTCTTTTAGGTTTTAGCTGCTATAAAGTGCCTGGCTGCAGAAGACTTGGGCTCACGGGCTTCCTGGGTGGTCAGGGGACAGGCAGTGACTGGCCAGGATGATAGGAAGACTCTGGAGGCTCTCCATCTTGAGGCAGGCCAGGAAAAGGACAGCCTGAGGAAGTTACTGTCAGAATGAAATCTACGCACACACAGATGAGCGGCCAGGTGACCCACACTGAACCACCCTGACAAATACAGCACGTTTATACTCCATGAGCGAATGGAGGAAAGAGCAGCAGCCTGTTTTCCTTAGGCTTCTGGGGCAGAACAGATGGGGTGGAGAGAGGCTGAGACAAGGTTTCTGTAGCTTTACATTGCCAGGTTGGCCTGATGAATTCAGAATTTAGCAATTCTGAGTTCTCTTTTGTTTCAGCTTAAGGATTAAAGCACAAAATGGTTGCATCTCAAATGGAAGGTTCTTGGAATTTATTGCTGTTCATAAATCCTGATTGATCTTGGGAAACCAAAGCAGAATTTCCCTTCCAAAGATACTCATGGGGATCCCTCATTTTGCCAGCAGGTATTATAGAAAAGGGGGCAGGAACCCCCGCCCCGCCCCCACCAACCCCGGACCCCGAGATCTGCCATATGGAGTAGTGGGATGCCTTGCTACAATTCTGTGTTATAGACAGAGCTGGCCTTGCCTGAAGCAGTAATTATTCATTTTTCATTCCCCTTCCCTCTTCCCCAGGCTTTGTCTGCAGAATTCCTTGGCTTCCTGAAAGGTACTTTGCAAGCAACCACCCAGCCCAGTGTGCTGAGTCACTTCCATTAGAAATGATCCTAATGTGCTCCTCTTTGGTTCAGGATGAGCAAAACCCAGCTCGGTCCCTTGAAACTGGCTTTCAGCATCCTCCATCTGCCATCTGTGCAAAGCCCATAGAGCAAGCACCAAGATCTATACTAATCATCTCCTTGAAAACCCTTTACAGCCCCACCGCCTCCTTGCCCAAAACCCTCTCATCACCACAAAGGACTAACTTCCCTATGTTAATACAATTCACCTCCAACCATTGCGTCCTTCCAAACATCAGCATAACTGCCTTCCCTCCGCCGCCAGCCGAACGTAGGACCCTGCTCCACATTTGGTTGTTGGGGAAGGGTTTGTCACTGGGGAACACTAGGATGATCTGCTGATTTCACATGATAGGAAATATCTGACCAAGTTAACTTTTTGGGTCTAAGTAAATAATGAAATTGACAACAATAAGAGGGTGATGTGTGAAGATGTTAGGAAGAAACACAGTTTTGAAAAGTGCTGGAGAGAACAGAGAAAGAAGTAATGCTCACACCGATACATCCCACAGACGGGAGTTTATTTCAAGCCTCCTCTGCTTCAGTTGTTATGGCTTGGCTGTCCTCCATGTCTGGACCCCAGTCAACTTATTCTGGGACCTGGGTTCCTTCCCCTGGATCTGCAGGGCCACATGAGTGTGAGTGAGTCCCCCCTGCCATTTGCTCAGGTAGTCTTTCCACCTGTCCATTGCATTTAGGTTACTCTCCCAGTACACCCTAGGAAACTGCAGAGAAGCGCTCTCTTCTTCTCTCCCCTTCCCTCTTCTGTTTCTCCCAGCCCTAGGTGCCAAGTTAGTTAGAAATTTAATTTTTTTCTCATTTCCAGGAGGGTTGAATAAGTTAGAAATTCTGAACCTGGGATCCACATATGAGCTTCAGGGGCTCTGGGAACCTCTTAATATTGCAAGTGTGTGTGTGTGTGCGTGCGCGCACGCGCGTGCATGCACACATGTCGTATGTGCGTTAGGGGCAGTGAGAATTTGGGGGGCAATATTCAGCATTTTTTCCATCAGATTTTCAAAAGGACCCCTCAAAAGATAAAACACCACTGACTGGTCCTTAGCCTGCTCTATGGGGTTGCACAGGTGATGGGCAGGGCAAACTAGAGGGACTGAGATGCTCATGCAGTTTGTGGTACTTCCAGCACAGTACCTTGGAAGCTGCCATCACAGCCGCTGTGGCCGCCACATTCAAGCCTCGCTTCCCGAAGTGCACAAGGGCGTCATAACTTCGGTCTTTTGCTTGGACCAGACAATCATCGATTTCCTGTCAAAGGAAAAACAGAGGCACACTGAGTTGGAAGGTTCAAATATATCTCTGTTCTCTTTCCCTTTCTCTGAGCACTGCACTTGGCAGCTTTCCCAATCCCTGCTCTTGCTGGGCCTGAAAAGCTGCAGGCACTTTGAGGGTGTGTGTGCAGAGGGGAGAGAGCAGAGAGACAGAAGAGTAGAAAAGGGGGCTCTGAAAACACTTTAACTTATGGATCCAGCAATGCCCTGCTACTGTTTCTAAAGCCCTCTAACCTTCCAGGGGGCTCTAGGGGGTTCTGGATGTGGATATCCCTGCCTGCCATTCTATACACAGCCATTTACCAGACACTGAAAGCACTCAGGGTGGAGAGAATGCCCAGAACCAAGCTTCTATCCACAGGCCTGCTTCCAACAGCCTGCCAGACCTTGGTAAGTACTTAGCCTCTCTACATACAGTTTTAGTCTTCTGAAAAATGAGGATAATGATAATACCCAACTCATAGAGCATGGTGAGAACTAAATGAGGTTAATTCCAGTAAAACATCTAACATAATGGCTGGTTTCAATAAACGATAAGCATGTCATCTTCCTTATCTTGACAGGGTTGGGTCTTTGCAGTTCTAAAATTCTGTCATTTTATAGTTATTTAATTCTACAATCAAATATCACCCCATTTGTATATTGATGGGAGGGATTATAAAGCTGAAAGAAATGGGTATTACTGGATAAGGGGGATTGTTTTACAGATACTCAAATAAAAGCAGAAATTAGAAGTCATCCAGTGTCATGTAACAAGGTAAAGGTGAGGCGGAAAACAGGATTGAGGTCTGCTTCAGGAACCAAAGCCAAATACAATATTGGTTTAGTTCAAATTTGGATTAACTTTGGTTTATTTTTTGTTTGGGGGCGTTTGTTTTTGTCATTGTTTTAAGAAAATGGCCGTTTGTCATCACAGTTGCTCATTTCAGAGTTCAGTAAGACAATGACATTTGGCCTCAGTCAAGTTCCACACATTAGTGGATTTCCTTTGCTTTGAGGTGTGCAAATGGGTCAGCAACCTCCTGCTGGATGCCCTGTGGAAGGCTTCCCCAGGAAGTCACAGCCACAAGCCCTCTAACTGTGATCCCCCTGTCCCCTTCCCCAACCCCTTTGGAAGTGATTCTTAGCAGCTCTTAAGAGTCAGTCACCTTCATTTCAATGGAAGTTACACTGGCAGCTTCAGGGGAAGCCCAGCATTTGGGAAAGGAAGTAGGAAGAGTAGAGATTTGATAACCAGGTCAAGACAGGGATCTGTTCCTCAAAATCCACCTTTCTGAGACAGAGATGGTCCAAGTTCCTAAAGGGATTTTCAGAAACTTCTACAGTAGCCTGCTCATCCAATTGACATGTTTCCCAAAGCCTTCCCCTTTCTAGTCCAAAGAATTCAACTTTCAGAAACAATAGACGTTAATCAATCAAGCACCTATGGTGCTCCTATTTTATGTTAAGAAACTCTACTACACAATCAGTTTAGCAAATAATATAGTTAATGAATGATACAATGTTGGAATTGTTCAACTCAATAATCCTGCTGTTGGGAATTAATTCTAAGATAATCAAAGGAAGTAACTAAACTCCAGGAATGCTCGTGCTCACTGCAAAACTGTCTATATCAGGAAAAGGCAAGAGGCAGTCTAAATATCTAGCAGTAAGGGAACATCATCATGGGCATTACAAAGAATACCCATGAAAGGGATATTCATGGGGAATACCCATTTAGAAATGGATTTGTGTGCAAACACATTTAAGATCTCAGGATACAAATATTTTATTTATGTTGTTTTAAAAGTCATTTAAAAAATCGACATAAAATTTTAATCTTTCTTTTTTTAAGAGATGGGGATTCTCTAGGTTGCCCAGGCTGGCTTCGAACTTCTAGGTTCAAGTGATTCTCCCATCTTAGCCCCCTGAGTAGCTAGGACTGTAGGCATGCACCACCACACCTGGCTTCCAGGTAAGATTTAAAATAATCTATGTAAAAATCACATCTATAAAAGGACAGGGGCTAAACATGACAAAAGGAAGGAAATTCCATTTGCGTGGTTAAATTGTGAGTGAATTTTTTCTTTCTTTTGTTTCAATTTATGGAAATATTTTCCAGGAAATAATGACAAATAACATCTTTTAGAGAACTTCACCACTATTTTTAAACACATCCCAGAAATATATTTAAAAAAATAATGTTAGGAGGAACAACTTGTTGGAGGTAAATGAGAGCCAAATGAGAAGCCTCCTGCAATAAGATCATCTGCTCTTTTTATTTATTACTTATTTTTTCACTTGCTAGAAAGAATGAAAGGCACGGCAGCATATATTACCTTTTCTTTTGAAGATAGTGTGGGATGTACAAACTTCCTGTATAGGAGGCTGGAGCCTTTTGTGTAGGGAGACAGCAGCCAGGCTACAAATGCTATTTTTAGTTCATAATAAAATGGAAACCTGGAGAGAGAGAAGAAAACACAAGTTCTGTTAGGTTCTCAGCAACACTGCCCTTTTGAAGGATGAGACCCCGTGGGCAGCAAGGACACCTCTCCCGCTTGCATGTGGCTGCAAGGTTCCCAGATTCCTCTGTCCTCCACCCATGAAGGCAAGGGCACACACATGCATACACACAGCACATCCCCAAGACTTCTCTTTGAAAACCAGTTCGTGTTTTCTTTTGTTGTCAAAGCAAACCAGGAATGCAGATTCTCTCCAGCAATCACCCCATGGCCCTGCCTGGCACAGGCTGGAGCTTCCCGCTGGGCTGTGCTCATTTAGTTGGAAGCTGGGGCTCTGGCCCCAGTCTACAGGCTCAGAGGGTCTCTTCTGTGCTGTACACCCAGTCACTCACTCTTCACTCAGCCCAAGAAGGCACAAACACCAGGGGGAATTACAGCAGGGAGGAGTTGATAAAAAAATCTCTAGACTGAGAATGAAAGCCTCTCCTTCTTGGCTGCCTTCTTGGCCCAAATAGAGGCAGCAAGAGGAGCCCAGCTCTTGGCAGGAAGTAGAATGCTACTCACCCTACTCAGTGGCAGGCAAACAGATCTCAGTGCCAAAAAACAGAAGAGTCCAGGGTGCAGATAACACATAATTCTGGAGTTTGCAGTGCTGCATACCCTCAAGCCTGTTTATTTATTTGTCCCCTGGCAGGCACCCAGTCCCTGTACGTGCCTTCTTGTACCAAGTACCAGGGAAGCAACAGTGACCAAAGAAGGCCTGATCCCTGTCTTGTGGGAGCTTCCAGTCCAGTGGGAAACAGACAAGATTCTGGCATCCTTGGAACTAAGGGTCCAGTCAGGGAAACAGAGATTTATAAAATAATCACAAATAATATAGAACAGTAATCTGAGACAAGTGCCATAGTGCTAGCCCACATGGTGCCTTTGAATGTATTAGGAGAAAACTGGCCTCTTCAACTGGAAGCAGCTCTGTGGCCACATGAACCACAGAGCTTGGTCTGGATTTCAGCCCCATTCGCCTGCTTGGCCAGATATCCTGTGCTGTGAACAACCTGAGCAACCATATTTGGCAGTCCAGAGGTGTATTAACCATGTGTTTATGGTTTATTTTATTTTATTTGTTGAGACAGAGTCTCTCTCTGTCCCCAAGGCTGAAGTGCAGTGGCATAATCTTGGCTCAGTGCAACCTCCACCTCCCGAGTTCAAGTGATTCTCCTGCCTCAGCCTCCCAAGTAGCTAGGATTACAGGTGCATGCCACCACGCCTGGCTAATTTTTTTGTATTTTTTTTAGTAGAGGCAGGGTTTCACTGTGTTAGCCAGGGTGGTCTTGATCTACCCGCCTCGGCCTCCCAAAGTGCTGGTATTACAGGCATGAGCCAAGGCACCTGGCCATGGTTTATTTTTTATTGTCTGTATTCTGATGTACCTTGGGGCCTTGCTGACTCTGCAGAAACTGCCCCTCCCAAGGCGAGCCAATTGCTAGAGATAGTAAAGAACTTACCTGCAACACATCTTTCATATGCAAACCAATGAATCCATGGGCCCAGATTCCGGCCACTGCCTCTAATGAACTCTCACACTCCAGGCCACCTTCTGCTTGCCCCAGTCACCCCAGGGCCAGAGCTAGACGACCAGAGATGGCCCCTATACCCCAGAGCCCAGTGAGATTATTCAAACCAGCCGAGCCCAAGCCTGCCCACCTTGCTTTGCCCTTTCCTTCCTTTAGTGTGGTACACAATAAAGGCCCTCACCCCCGGTTCCTCTCTCTGCTCCTGAGGACCCTCAGTGGCCTCCAACATGGCTCTGCATGGTGCGCTGTGCCTCCTGTTTCTAGGAATCTGTGAGCAAACAAACCTCTCCCTTCGTGACAATTATTTCCATGTCTGTGTCTTACCCACACTCGCTTAAAACAAATCCCAGGTATCCTTAAAACCTGATGCTATGAGATGATACAGTCACCTGCGCTAGTTTCAGGGATCAGAAAAGTCCTTTCCAGGCATCCTCCCTCCCCTTTGTTGATCAGAAAATCAAAAAAGCAAGTCATTTCAGAGCCCTGAACTCACACACAGACACCTCATCCTCCAGTCAGCAGCCCCCCCATGCATCCTTTCCTCACCAAGGTCTCCTGCCCTCCCCAACCTTCTGCCTCTGCTGGGTGCTTCTTGAATATTCCCTCAGCAATTAGTGGGCACTTTCGTGGCAAGACTGTTTAATGTTTCACAGCCAGAAAAGAGAGAGGCTGAAGAACAGAGGTATGATTCTCCCACATTTGAACATTCTGGTGATTAATAACGAAGGAACTTTTGTTTTGAAAACAAGTATTCACCAGCCCCCAAGGGGAAAGCAAATGAATCCAGCAAGCTCAGACACCAACACAAGACACACAGATAATCTGTCGCACCGAGGCTTTTTTATTTATTACATAAAAGATATATTAAAAAAATAGGCATACACGCATAGTTTAAAAAAGTCCAAAAAAATGTACAATAAAGAGCCTCCTTCCCACACCTGACCCCTAGTCCCTTTTCTAAAAGCAAAAACTTTATCAGTTACTTGCATATCCTTCCAGAGGTAGACTAGGGCCAGGCTTGTAGGTATATATGACTCCCTGAATTGCCCCCAACACAGAGAAGCATTATACCTCCTGCTATACTTGCTTCCCCCAGCACATACACACAATCGACAGTATGCCTTGGGGACTATCTCATACCAGTACAGGGAGAACTACCTCATTCATTTTTTTTTTTTTTTTAAAGGAGTTTCACTCTGCTGACCAGGCTGCAGTGCAATGGCGTGGTCTCGGCTCACTGCAATCTCTACCCACTGCAATCTCCATCATTCGGGTTCAAGCAACTCTGCTGCCTCAGCCTCCTGAGTAGCTGGGATTACAGGCATGTACCACAACGCCCAGCTAATTTTTGTATTTTTACATTTTTAGTAGAGACAGGGTTTCACCATGTTGGCCAGATTGGTCTTGAACTCCTGACTCCAGGTGATCCATCCACTTTGGCCTCCCAGAGTGCTGGGATTACAGGTGTGAGCCACTGCGATTAGCCTATCTCACTCATCTTTATGACCGCATAAGAGAATATGAGCACCTGCTCAGGGCCCCATGAATGGATATTTATGATGGTTATGGCTACTTCAGCAGAGCTGCAAGAGAACCTCTTTGTGTATGCTTCTTTACATACAATGCAAATGTATCTTTAGTGTAAATGCCCAGAAGTGAAATTTGTGTATGCACTTTATAGATCAAGGGTGCACCTCTGTGCAAACATGAGAAGAGCTGGATTCTTCATAGCTGTGCCCTCACATTGCACGCCAGCAGCAAAGCTGCCCCAGGCTATGAGGCTGGGGATTGTGGGATGAGTTTGCATATCAGATCTGGGGTGGTCCTTCTGGACTGCCTCGGCCCTCTTTATTTTCTGCCCAACCTGCTACAGACCCTCCTTGTTCTTTGGGTTCTTTCTGGTATGTCTCATCCAGGCTGATGCACACTCTGAAGACCTTTTTGCATGACAATCTCTGGCATCTCCAGTGACAAATTAGGGTAACATATTTTGTTTGGGGTAGCTTCCAGGACTGCCCTTTGGGTCCTGTCCTCCCAGGTAGCTCTAGACTGATATGAGAGAGAGCTACTCTGCATTTCCCTGCTCATCCTGGGCGATGGAACCTCCTTGGAAAGTATCTGGGGCAAGGGAAATCATCTGGTTATGGAAGAACCACAGTGAAATGGGTTTGTTTCTCTGGCAGAAAAGTGGAATAAGTATCCAGAGAAGAACAAAAGGAGCCATTGCAGCCTGCTAATTCCTGACCTTTCCAGGACTTTCGTTAAAAGTAGGCTCCTTTTGAGTCTTTTCTTGGTAGCAAAACCAAAATCTCAAGACTGCCTCCTATTGTTAGCAATCACTGTGTTTTCTTTCCATTTCTTTCCTCAAGCATTATTCCTGCTACACTTGTCCACTCAAAGATACACACTGGCTTATTGACTGAGTCATTGTTTTCTGATTTGTTGAGTTGGAAAAGTTGCACTGAAAAGCTATAAGGGGCCCAGGCATGGTGGCTCACACCTGTAATCCCAGCACTTTGGGAGGCGTAGGCAGGTGTATCACCTGAGGTCAGGAGTTCAAGACCAGCCTGACCAACATGGAGAAACCCCGTCTCTACTAAAAATACAAAATTAAGGCTGGGTGCGGTGGCTCACGCCTGTAATCCCAGCACTTTGGGAGGCTGAGGTGGGTGGATCATGAGGTCAGGAGATCGAGACCATCTTGGCGAACATGGTGAAATCCCGTCTCTTAAAAAAAAAATGCAAAGTTAACTGGGCGTGATGGTGCATGGCTGTAATCCCAGCTACTCGGGAGGCTGAGGCAGAAGAATACTTGAACCTGGGAGGCAGAGGTTGCTGTGAGCCAAGATTGCGCCACTGCACTCCAGCCTGGACAACAAGAGTGAAACTCCTTCTCAAATTAAAAAAAGAAAAAAGAAAAAAAAAAAGAGAGAGGGAAGGAGGTTAGAAAAAAAAAAAAAAAGAAAAGAAAAGCTATAAGGGGAAAGTTATGTGCTGTGCAGTACCGGGAAAGCAGAGCCAGGTGAGACATATCCTCGCCCTTAGGAGTTTTTCATCCAGTCAAAGAGCTAAGACAAGAAGGTAAGCCAACAACAATGGTACAATGGGAGCATGAACAAAGTCCTAGTGGGGACAAAGCCTTTGCCTCCTTCCAAATTTCCTTTCATTGCTCACCAACATCCCCCTCAGAATTTTTCTTACTATTTAACTGGTAACATCTCAACCTCAATGAGTCCAAAACAGACCTCTCAGAAATCTCTATAGTTTATCCTCTGCGGGGTGAGGGCTCTCTGCCCTTTGCAAAGTCAAATGAGCAAATGGCCTCAGGCCTTGAGTGGGCCTTGAGTTTTAGAGAGTGAAGGAAGTCTACGTTGTTGGTGACTATAGGGATAGCGTATGTTGGGCACATAAGAAGCATCCCTGG